TTGTCCTTTAATTGGAAAAAACTCCCTTGCACCCCCTCGGGTGCGGAAAAAGGAGGTGCGACAATGGGTAATGTACATGTATAAGTAAATGCAATGCATAAGAAGTAAGTCAATAAGATCTCTCGGAATATCATAAGATCAATATGCCTTCGGATAAAGTTTATCAACTACGTATTTTTCTGAGACCCATGAACAGAAGATATAATAATAAGACACATGGGGAATAAAGAACATAGGCATCCCTAGTGCTTCTATGAATAGAGGTATTTATGAAAGTTATATGTTTACTCGTTTCGTTTATATCGTATGAATCATGCCAAAAGGAAAGAAGGGATAGCCTTAACATACTTTTCTCGTTTACCTAACCACACTTACGACGGTTCATCCCATTAGTACTTCAATCTACAACAAACAACAAAGTACCATTGTTAAACTTACGGAAGGTAGAACTCAACACAAATGTGCGACTAGCTCATCTACAAAATTTTGGACAACACCTCTCTTTATTCTTTTCATCTTCCTCAAATCAAACAACAAGACCAATATGTCCAGGATGTCAACAAACATACATATATATATATATATAACCTCATATTCGTTACAATACATCACCAAAACAGTCCATACCATCTCACCTAACAACCAAGTTCTAACTTGCATTTTCCAAGCCTTGTCTTCTTCCAAACACATCAACCACAATAGCAATAGTATTCTTAAGTTATTTCTACTGATTTTGCAGCCATAAAACATCAAGAATTCAACTCCAAAATAGTCCAACAACTACAACACTTCAGCATGAAGTTCAACCTACTTCACAAGTTTCCTTTAACAAATTAACTAGATATACACGGATGATCTTAAATACATATAGGAGAAGTTAAACCTTACCTTGGCAACAAGAATACTTGTCCAACTAAGCTTTACTTCAAGCTCAAACAAACTCTTTACCCCAAAACAACAAAGTAGAGAGAGATAACTAGGTGACGTTGATCTTCTAAGAGAGAAATCATCTTACCAACTTGTGGATTTGGTCTTGAACCCTAGGATAACTTTGAGAGAGATCTTGGGATTATATTTTGGAGCTCCTCCACGTTTCAATAGAGTGAGATGGATGATGAATTGTGCTTCTAATGAAATGGAGATATATCTATGTTTATATGGCCCCACTAATGGGCTTGGGCATATGGGTCTTGGGCTGCCCCAAGACTTGTCCATCTCTATCCTTTTTCATTTCCTTTTAATTTGATCCACAAGCACTAAGTAGGTGATGCACCTACTTGTCACCTACTCAATCAATAGGTGATTCATGTTGGTTCTTTTTTCATTTTGAAACATGTGTCTCATCCTCATTAAATAATTAAGACATGTGTCGAGTGGCTCAAGCAAGTAGGACGGAAAGTAAGTTGGTGAAGCAGATGCGTCAGGTAGGTAAGCAACTCGTTTTTATTTGCCCAAAATCTCCTTTCTCGCGTTTAAGTGCATTCGTCCTCAACCTAGTCTTTTGTATGCTTAACGGAAATACGGATGTAATATCATTAGATCACTTTATATACTTTCAAAGAGAATATCATTTCCGAGCTACATCAATCGACTTATGGCGTACTTTCACATACGAAAATATGGGGTGTAACATAAGTGAAGACTTTCATACCAATTCCTTTTCTTTTCATTTCTTACGGAAATTAGATTATGAAAAATATTGTACATCTAACCTCTAAGGCTCTAACTCTAATAAAAATATTTATTTATTTTATTTTGATTAAATTTATAATAAAATAAGTTATGAATTTAGAGGTACTTTTGACAGTTGTGCAAAACGCAGAAATTCACTAGTTTCGTATAATAAAGAGGTAAATTTTAATTTCGACCCTTTTATCTTAATAAGTAAAAACAACAACAACGACCCAGTATAATCCCACAAGTGAGGTCTGAGGAGGTTAATATGTACGCAGATCTTACCCCTACCCCGAAGGGTAGAGAGACTGTTTCCAGGAGACCCTCGGCTCAAGAAAGCAACAAGAGATGATATATTAGTACCATAAAAACGCATAATAAAATAACAGCAATATAAAANGCATAATAAAATAACAGCAATATAAGAGATATGAAATACAGAATACGAAATACAAAATAGATGGCTGGTATAGTAAAACTAGCAGGTAAAGCCCTGCTTCA